GCATGGGAGAAAGTAGTGGGCTATGCCTGTTTTTATATACATTGTTTGAATTTTGATGTGTGTGTGTGTTTTTAATTTGTGGAAGGAGAGAAGTTCATATTGACTTACTACTGTTTCTTGTTTCTTTCTATGCTACACCCGATCGATTCGAACTCGACCCTACAAAAATATCTACAATAAGTAAATATATTTATAAATAATTTTAATTAGAATTGCAAAAGTTTGAACTATTTGTATTATTTTCAACGGTGGGTGTGGATTGAGGGCGTCAAAAGCAGCTTCTCTGATTTTTTAAGATATTACTAAAAATAACAAAAAATTTGTGAATATTCGAATTAAATCGTATAATGTTGAAAATATAATTGAAGTGAGTACATTTTTTGTAAATTAAAAGGGAAAAAAAAATTACACGATATATTTCACGAGATACCGACACCATGGTGTCGTTCTCCGGAAACGTGGCAAACTAGGGTTGGGGGAGTTGAAGTTGGGTTAAGCCAAATTGGCTATGGCGGGCCTCTTTGTGTCAGCCTAAGCACGCCAGCCCATGTTATCTTTATTATATCTTCTCATTTATTCACATATTTAAATACAACATGTTCTCTATTTCTTTTTTTAATTTTTTTTTTTCACATATTAATAAGGAGTAATTAACAGGAGTAAATGCAGAATGGTATTTTGTAGTACAAAACTTAGGTAATTAATTAATTAATTGGGTACTAATGTACTAGATTAGTACTCTAATCCTATAGGGCTCGCAAAAGTATGGCAATTGTTGACCACTACAGTTAATCAATTTGCGTTAATCAAGAAATTTGGGTCAGATCAAACACGTGGTGTCTAGTAAACTCTGCATTACTAAATCTAATTGACTTGATTCCTCGTCTAATTCATCATATATTTAATTATTTAAGTACTACTTAAACAATAATATAATATTTCTAAGTGTGTGGGCTTTCAAGTTTGTACTGTATAGCATCGGGGCGGACGACGGCCGCACGTGTGGGAATATGTTACACTATTTTCCGGCGAGATTGACGAATACATATAATCTTGCTCGACCCTTAACGAAATTCGAACATAAATCAATCGACACATTCACACTTACTCCAACTCTTAAAGGCAACCCTTGCGAGACGGTTTCTAAACATTTGTTGTTACTATGCAATGTATAAGTGAGATATATTAGTAAGGTTATTTATTAAATAAAACAATAATAAATAAAAGTATAGTTAATTATTTGAGATGTGAAGAATTAATAATTATTAATTAGGAGATCGGTCTAATTTATTGGTTGGCTCTCACTCACAACATGTAACGTGCCTATGCAATTTGGGCTTTCATGCATGGCATATGATGTGTGGAACACCACTTGTAATTAATTATATTATTGTACTACAACAAATTAATTAATCATAATAGACCTCATGCAATTAATTATAACATGTGAGATTTTTTGTCCTTTTTTGTGATTAAGTTAAGTACATTTGCTCTTTGATGCTTCATTAGAAAATTAGGCTAATTAGCAACTAACACATGAAAATTAATGTCCCTAGTAGATCAAGTCTCCACTAGCTTTTATATTGTAATTAATATTATATATTATGTGTATAGAGCAACTAATAAAATATCCTCCCACATTTATAAAATAAAAATATTCATTAAATATAAATATCACATTAAATTTTATTTAAATTTATTTTTTATGAAAGTCAAATAGTCGATGGTAGGAGGGAGGTGTCCCCATCCCTCGCCAGTTCTTGTGTCCTCGACTATAAGGTAGCACTTGGATTGCATGCGTCATTTAATATTGAAAATTCAATTTTATAATAACAAATTCATTAAAAAAAAATGGATAAATTTATGGGCAAATAGCACTTAATTCAGCGGTTCAAGTTTTGTGCACATGACTCCCTTATACTTTCATAAATTTCTTATTTCTAATATTAAAACTAATATAATATTTAAGGGTAAATTACACCTGCACCCCTAAGGTATGCTAAAATAATTTTAAAAGTCTCTATGGTATCGTACAATGACCCCCTGAAACATTGTTAGAAACCCTAACGAATAAGTTATTTCATTAGGGTTCTCACGAACTATTAATTTCAGGAAGTGGTGGAGAGAACATAGAGTTAGAGAATACCTCCCCCAACATTTCTAAAATCCTTATTATTTTAGATAAGATTTATAAATTTTTATCTATGGTAGCACTAACAGCCCCGCGGAAAACAAATATAGTGCACGCCGGTCACCAGGACATAAAATCTTGGCTCCGGTAATAGCTTCAGGGGTATGGCTATAATTACAAATAACACAGGGACCTTAAAGTTATTTTTTAGCATACCTTAGGGGTGCAGGTGTGATTTACTCAATATTTAATAATAGCACAATAAATGAAGAATTCTATCCATTTGTTAACCCCCAATATTTTTAGGTTCTCCATCCCTGTGGAGGGTGGGACCTGTGAATTATATTTTCCCCAACAATCCATGTGGCTTTGGAAAAACTAAAAAAAATGTCCAAACATGGGCCCTTCTTAACCCATCAATCAATGTTTGTTTGGCAAAATTATAAAAAATGTCAACCCAGGGCCCCCCCCCCCCCCCCCCATCACCCCCCATCCCCCCACCCCCCAACAAAACCACACAGATCTCTGTGCATTATTAAGCAAACAATTATATAAAACAGGTCAAATAAACACACATTATGTAAGAGCAATCAAGAAACTCAAGGGTCCCAGTGTTTTTAATTATTAGTTGTATGCAACAGTGTTAAGGTTGTAATAGAGGCCTTTGCTTTGGGGTCTACATTTTTTCAAACAGATTGATGCATACCACAGCAAGGTGTGCAGCATTTTGCTGCTTATTTTGGTAACAAAAACATTTGTTTCATCACCATATGTTTGGATCTAATAATTAATAGACGACAAAACAATTTATTCGGAAAAAACAAAAAATATTTCAAGAAAATCAGTCTCGACAATATATATCACCTCACAAATGACAAAACTCATCGCCCCATGTATATTAATCGTACACGTTACAATACCGACTCCACCTCACAAGGATACGACTAATTTGGTAAATGTAATTTGTCGCATACATATAATCACTTGAAGGTGTAAGCAATATCTGGCTAAGGTTCGATCCAGAAAAAAAGGTGTATCTTTAATAAATCGGTTAGGAGTTAGTATAGAAACGGTGGGCTCAATTTGATTTAGTGACGTTTTCGTGACAGCAAATGATTATCAGTGCCTTTTCTAGATGTGTTATGTTTAGCATAATACTACAGATTTAAGATGCCACGCCTTTCTATTTTTTGGTTACATCGATTACTCGGAATGAGAGACCTAAATATTTATTTAATTATTAAGCATAAATGTGCGTCAAGAAATGAACTCATCGGTAGGGGTTTTCAGTTTTTGGACAAGGTAACATGGTATTTTTGACATAAAGAGAGGTTTGCTGTTAGAAAAAAAATCGTGGCAGAGACATAAATGCACACGACAAGAAAGAAAATCGGGAAAAACAGTCTTCAAACTGAAAAGAGAAAATGAAAGAGAGCGAAATTTCTAGAATTTTCACAAGAGATAATAAACATTGAAAGATGCATGTTCCTTCAAGCATGTGCAGCACATGGGATATGTCAGTCAATGCTCAACAATAACGTTTGTGTGGACAAAAGTTCCGTTCGGTCCATCTTGCAAAAACTATAATTTGTTTTAGTAATATTAGCATTGTCCAATTACTAATGTTTTCTTTCGATAGTTCAATGCTTAAACCATATGCATATAGAAAAAGAATCCAAATCTAACCTGTTTTATCTTCGCCCAGTCGCGCTAGCTAGGTTAAGGAAAACAT